AGGATGATAGTCTTGTCCGTGGTTAGGGAAGCCGGTGAACACAACTATGCGACGAATAACATATTGGACCAATATGATTTCATTGTGGGTGAGTATTGGTGTCATTGTGTGTTTATTTTTAGGCAATGTTTTCTCTTTTGTTTAGGTATACATTGTGTGTACTGGATTCGTGATCAAGCGTGAATGAGAGTGAGAGTGAAAGTGAGAGAGAGAGAGAGGGGGGGAGGGGTGATATGAGAGAGTGAGTGAGAGAGAGGGAGAGAGAGATAGAGGGAGAGAGAGAGAGGGGGGGGGGAGAGAGAGAGCGAGAGAGAGCGAGAGAGAGAGAGAGAGAGAGAGAGAGAGAGAGAGAGAGAGAGAGAGAGAGAGAGAGAGAGAGAGAGAGAGAGAGAGAGAGAGAGAGAGGTGAATGAATCGAGGGGTAACAAAGGTATTTTCAATTAGAGATTATTTAGTAGTGATGTCTCGTTGTGGTGAAGCAAAGTTACGTTTTAGTGACGAAATTAGAGTAAATACTGTTTTTCTGTGCAGAAATGATTCATAAATAAGTGGTGTTAAATGACCGATATCATGACCATAGAATTCCGTGTTGACAGCTATAGCGGCCGTGCGCGATAGTTACATAAACTGAAAACTTTCACAAAGAATGAGTAGGCGATATTAGATTGCCACCGTGACGTCATGGCATATCGCACGCCGTAGAAGTGTCGTACTCTAGGTACAAATTGATAGGGTCTGTGCATCGGAGCGTGAAAGTCGTAGAGTTGTAGCCACAAAAAGCACCAATTCTACAGCTCGGCGATCTTTACCCGAACAGTGGGAGCCGGAACAGCCGGAGGAATCCTGGCGGCGAGGTTGTCAGAAGTCACTAATTGGAGGATTTTGCTGTTGGAGTCCGGAGGTCCGCCGCCCCCCGAGAGCTTCGTGCCCGCCTTCAACATAGCGCTTATCGAGGGCGACGCCGACTGGAATTTCCGCACCGTCCCGCAGCGCTTCAGCCATAGGGCCTACCAAGACCATGTAAGTGTGCTTCCAACAATTTCCAATCGTACCTACGCGTTTTTTCTTTATCATTTTCGCCACGAAGCATTACAATCATACGTAGATATCCGAGACTAAGACAAAATTACATTCTCCTCGCCAATACTTCGTCCGGTGGCCTAACCTCCCTTCCCTTCCCCTCCAGGTGTGTCCGTTCCCGCGTGGCAAATGCCTGGGCGGCTCCTCGACCCTCAACTGGATGATGTACGTGCGAGGCAACAGGCGGGACTTCGACAACTGGGAGGCCATGGGCAACCCGGGCTGGGGATACGAGTCTGCCCTCCGCTACTTCAAGAAGGCAGAGAACTACCGCGGCAAAAGGAATATTCATACTCGTAAGATAACGAAAACCCTGGTTAAGAGATTAGGGAAATGGAAGGCTGTCATTTTTTTTTCTTTTTACTTTTTCCTTTCTCCTCTCGCGCTTCTCCTCTTTTTCTAGAAACGTCCAAAAGAAAATAAAACAAAACAATGGGTTTAGTTTTTACTCCTCAATTTCACACTTTTTCTCAACTTTTTTTTATAAATATACAACTAATATTTCTTTTTTTTTAGGTGAATTCTTTGCTTGAAAGTAGACAGAATATCATGAGTCATTCGCATGATCATTCCCTCTGCTTCTTCCTCGATGCCTATCTCGCTTTCTCTCTTTCTGTCTAGTTATTTACCTTCATGTCTATCTCTCTACTAACCTCTCTATCTGTCTGTCTCTTATTTGTCTATTTATCTATTAATCTATCTGTTTATATGGCGCTCTGCTAATCTTAGCAGATTTGTCTGTCTAAAAATCTAAGAAAGAGACAGACATATGGACAGACACCTAGAAAAAGCCAACTAGACACAGACAGAGACAAATAGACGGCGAGAGACAGACAGACAGACAAACAGACATATAGATAGATAGACAGACAGAAATAGAGGAGGGGGGAGCGTGAGAGGGAAGGAAAGAGGGAGGTAGAGAATAAAGGATGGATGGAGAGTTAGAGAGAGACAGACGGACAGACAGACAGGCAGGCAGACAGACAGACAGACAGAGTCAGAGTCAGAGACAGACAGAGGGAGGGGGGAAAGAGAGGGGATAAAGAGATGAGAAAGCGAAACAAGAAAGAAAAATAGATGAAAGGGGAATAAATGGAGAGGGAGAGGGCGGGAAAGAAGAGACAGTGATTGATTTACTGAGAGAGAGAGAGAGAGAGAGAGAGAGAGAGAGAGAGAGAGAGAGAGAGAGAGAGAGACAGACAGACAGACAGACAGACAGAGAAAGAGGCCTTACAGATTATGAAACAGTGAAATCATATGATGAAAGAGAGCGAGAGAGAGGTGGAGCAACAGTGTTTAAGGAGGAGACAGGGAAGACGTAGCGTGAGAGGTAATTCCTTTCCTTTCCCATTGTGTATCGACCACTAATTATCATTTCTGAGCAACTGTGCTATAAATTAAATCTCTTCGCCACTTCCACTTTTTCTATATACATTTTTTTTTTTTCTTTTACTTTCAGTTGCGGCTTTTTTTTCCGTCATACTTCTTTTCTTTTCATTTCTCTCGCTTTCTTGTTTTGATTTTTTCTCTCTTTCTCTCCTCTTACTCTTATTTTTACCTTCACTTGCCGCTTGAGTTGTCACTTTTTTTCTACATTTCTTTCGTCTTCCCTTCATACTTTCTCTCATTTTTTCCGTCCCTTCTTTAACTTATCTTTCATTCTCTCCCCTTATTCAATTTCACATTCTTGCTTTTTTTTATCTATTTTATATTTCGTCTTTCGTTTTCACTCTCGCTCAAGATGACTCGAAATTCAGACGTCGGTTTTTCTCCCCAGAGTAAGCTTATATACAAACCGCCTGAGGACAAGCTTCAGCCGTAAGATTTTTCATACGTCACTGTAACTTTTGACTGAGTACCTTGTTTGTTTGTTTTGTTGTTGTTGTTTATTTTATCTTTACTTTCCCTTTCCTTTCATGTCTAAGGATTATTTTTTTATTATCATTATTTCCATTGCTGATGTTTGGTTATTCCGGTATTGGACTAGGTGATAATAGTAATAATTGTGTTTTTATCATTTCTATTATTAATGTTATTATTAATTATTACTAATAGTAGTTGTAGTAGTAGCAGTTTATGATTATCATTATTATTATCATTATTGTCACATTAATACTACTATTATTTTTGTAATTATTATCAATGTCTTTATTATTGTTATTTTATTATTATCATTATCATTATTTTTAGTATTAGTATTAATATTAGTATTAGTATTAGTATTAGTATTTTACTATTATTATCATTATTATTATTATTATAATTATTATTATTATTATTATTATTATTATTATTATTACTATTATTATTATTATTGTTATTATCTTATTTTTACTATCATTATCATTATTATTATTGTTATTATTATTATTGTTATTATCCTTATTATTATTATTATTATTATTATTATTATTATTATTATCATTATTATTATCATCATCATTATTATTATTATCATTATTATTATTATTATTATTATTATTATTATTATTATTATTATTATTATTATTATTATTATTATTATTATTATTATCATTATTATTATTATTATTATTACTATTATTATTATTATTATTATTGTTATTATCATTATTATCTTTACTACTATTATTATTATCATTACCATCATTATAAAATTTTATTATCATTATTATTTATTTTATTATTATTATCATTATCACTATTATCACTATTATCACTATTATTATCATCATCGCTATCATTAAGCATTACTATTATTATTATTTTGGTGCCTTTATCAGTAATGTCTGAAACAAATTATATCTGTGAAAGTTCTGATTATTATTAGCTAGAGATTGCAACACAACAGTAAGTAGCTATCTTTTTTTTTCCCTTTCCCCTCTCTCTCTCTCTCTCTCTCTCTCTCTCTCTCTCTCTCTCTCTCTCTCTCTCTCTCTCTCTCTCTCTCTCTCATTCCTATCCATCTTTCTATTTATCACTATCTATATCTACACACACACATCTGCAACCATCATGAGGCGGTAATGAGTGACCGCTGTGCAGCTTTTCTTCAATGGGATGAATCACTTATAATCATTAATAGGAATTCAACAGCGACCTCTTATTATCCCCCTCCCCCCCCCTCCCCCTCCCCCTCCCCTTTGAAGTCATTCAGGCCCACTGGTGTGTAATCTGTGAAATTGGACCGGTGAACAATGTCAGAGGCGGTGTTTTTCATTTGTTCTGATTTGTAAATGCATTACTGTGCATTTTTTGAGGTACTGATACTGTTATGTATGTTATTATTTACTTCCTAAAACATATGGTTACTACGTGCGTAAGTATTACCTTAGTGTGTATATATATATGCAGTAAGTATATATTCACTAATGTGATATCAGAATTTCTTCTGAAAGAGATTTTTTTTCAACTTGACATTATTTCGAAACATGTTTGGTATTTCTGAAGAAAGTATCATGCTTGCCCCTTCTCAAGGCAGCGCCGTGATTCTCACAGTCACTGAAGGCATTGCAAATTCCCTTCTCCTGATTACCTCCCAACTGCCCTTGTTAGCGACGTCTTTCCCGCAGTCTCCTACCACGGACGCGACGGACTACTGTCGGTGGAGGACAAGCGCTGGAGTTCGCCCCTCCTCACGGGATTCCTGAAGGCAGGCCAGCAGTTAGGATACGATATCGTGGATCCCAACGGCCCTGAGCAGATCGGTGAGTGGCGAAAGAACTTGCAACTTCGGGGGAAGAAAGAAGAAATGGGGGGAAGGGGGGGATGGTAGATAAAAAAAACGTTCCATTCCCGATATAGGTTGCACCCGGTCTGAAAAAAGCGCGAAGTCACACTTTCATTTTTTTTGCTCGTCTTACCTATATTTTTTATTTATTTCTTTTTTTTTGATGGCATCACTTTTGAAACGCGTTTTTACCAAAGTTTTTTAAGCAACT